CGGGCCACAGCCCCGCCGACTACCTCCGCTTCCAGGACCTGGTGCTGCGCATGCTGGAGTATGAGCCCGCCACCCGCATCAGCCCACTGGGGGCTCTGCAGCATGGCTTCTTTCGCCGCACGGCTGATGAGGCCACCAACACGGGCCCGGCAGGCAGCAGTGCCTCCACCTCGCCCGCGCCCCTCGACACCTGCCCCTCCTCCAGCACCGCCAGCTCCATCTCCAGTTCTGGTGGGTGCCCAATGCCCAGTAGGGTCGCACAGGTGTGGGGCCAGCTCTGGTTTCACCTGACCTGGGGGACTTTTCCATTGGGCCTTCACGTAGAGCTTTGAAACTGCATTATCCTGAACTCTAAAGGTTGAGGCAGGAGCGGTCCATCTGGTCCTGACCTGATCTCTGAAACTGAGTTTGTGCTCAGATATCTTAACTGGTTCTGACTCCAATACCCAAAACTGAATTCTGACTCCTAATCTCAAAATTGGGCCTGGTTTCTTCAAACGAACTCAAAGCCCAAACCTGGCCCTGGGCCATGTACCAGACTCAGCCACCTGAAAACCCAGCCACCACCTCTCCTTACCTTCACCTAAGGCCTCTTCTCTTCTCCCCTGGCACTTCCAGGAGGCTCCAGTGGCTCCTCCAGTGACAACCGGGCCTACCGATACAGCAACAGATATTGTGGGGGCCCTGGGCCCCCCATCACTGACTGTGAGATGAACAGCCCCCAGGTACTAGGGCCTTAGGGCCTTTGGAGGTGGGTGGCAGAGTATCTGGGACTCCAGAACCTGGGTCTCCATCACCCACTATTCCTTTGCTCCTTTAGGTGCCACCCTCCCAGCCGATGCGTTCCTGGGCAGGTGGTGATGTGCCCCACAAGACACATCAGGCCCCTGCCTCTGCCTCGTCACTGCCAGGGGCTGGGGCCCAGTTACCCCCCCAACCCCGATGCCTTGGCCGTCCTCCATCACCAACCTCACCACCACCCCCGGAGCTGATGGATGTGAGCCTGGTGGGCGGCCCTCCAGACTGCTCCCCACTCCACCCAGCGCCTGCCCCCCAGCACCCGGCTGCCTCAGCCCTCCGGACTCGGATGACAGGAGGTCGTCCACCCCTCCCACCCCCTGATGACCCTGCCACTCTGGGGCCTCGCTTGGGCCTCCGTGGTGTACCCCAGAGCACCGCAGCCAGCTCATGACCCTGCCCCTTCCCTGGGGCCCCTCCTGAAGCCATACCCCCCCATCTGGGGGCCCTGGGCTCCCATCCTCATCTTTCCCCTTGACTGGAATTGCTGCTACCCAGCTGGGGTGGGTGAGGCCTGCACTGATTGGGGCCTGGGGCAGGGGTCAAGGAGAGGGGTTAGGCGTACCCTCCCCACTAAGGACTGCACCCTTGGCCCCCTCTCTCCCCCTTGTTTTCTATTTATTGTACCAAAGACAGTGGTGGTCCAGTGGTGGGGAGACCCCCTCACCCCAGGGCCCTAGGAAGGGGTGGGGGCAGGTAGGGGGAGATGGCCTTGCTCCTCCTTGCTGTACCCCCCAGTAAAGAGCTTTCTCACATGCCCGCCTGAGCGTTTGCAGGGCCCTGGCTCCCTTTCACCCAGCCCTCAGAGGCATGGTGCGGAATGGTGTTTGGGGAGGGGGTGCTGGAAGAGCTTTCTCTTGTGGGGTATGTCCACAGGGAAGTTATAGCTATTGGTGCAGACATGGGGCTGCAGGAAGTCTGGGCCCAAGGAATCCTAGACAGATCCTGAATAGGATCGTAGCCCACATTTGCCTTTTCCAGGGTAAATAGACCCTGAAAGGGTAAAAGCCCAGTTCTGGCCTGTTTCTGGGAAATAAGCATTTCTGCCCTAGTAAGCCAGGTTTTCCACAGAATCTGTGCAGGAGTGGTTCCTTTTGCCAGGCAAGCGGCCAGTAGGTGCTGAATACGTGTAACAGGAGTTATTGGTGCCATCTGGGGATTGACAGGCAGGCAGTGGCTACAGACTTTACTCCTACCCCCACGTCTGGTCTTACCCTTTCAAAGGAACAATTGCGGAGCAAGGCTTTTTGAGATTCTCAGGCAAAAAAAAAAAAATGTCCCCGGCGTTCCAGGTAAGTGGGCCTGTTTCCCTGGCAATTTGGCAACTTTTGTCTCCCAAATGGCCAATCAAGGGCCTCCTGATTCAAAGGGTATCGTCTTCCGCCACTGGGGCGCTGCGCCTCCTGGGAAATGGAGCTCTTCTTGGCGATCTCCTCCTCCTCTTCGTTGGGGAACTGCAAAGACCAGAGTTCTTTTCGCTCATGTGTTTAGGGGCGGGGTCACAGGCAGCCAATCAGCAGTCAGACGGGACCCGGATGTGTGACGCGGGCTGTAAAGGAGGAAGAAGGCAGTGATTGGGTGGTTTTGGCCGTGATGTGCGCAGGTGTTGATTTCTCTTGGGGCGTGCGGTAGGTGCAAGATGGCTTTTCGTGGACAGCGTTAAGGTAAGATGTTCGTATTTAGAGCAGGAGGTAGGCGCAGAGGCCTGAAGCGGCCCCATCCCGCGGGCATCACTAGCCGCTGTGTCTGGCCTAGCTCGCGGGAAAGGTCCCGTCTGTAGGAAAGAGAGGCAAGGGTTCCATTACGGACCTGCGTGTGTCCCCTAATGGTGGCAACGTTGAACGCGAGGGAACCCAGAAGAAGCAAGGGTAGGGAAACTCTTCTGGAGGAGGAGGAGCTGCCTGAGCTGAGACCTGATGACGGAGGGGTGCTTGGTGGCGCGGTAGAACCGCTTGCGCAAAGGCAGCAATGAGAAACAGCCTGGTGATCTGGTGTTGGAGATCTTATTGAAAGTTCTGTGAATTAGGTCCTGGAAGATTTTGTTGACTAGGGATTTCCTGAGGGCAATGAGGAGCTGTGGGAGGGCCCTATTTGCCGACATCTGGCAATAGATTGTCGGGAAAGAGACTTGGGCCTGGGTGCCCAGGGTGGCGTTTATGGCAGGGTCCTAGGCATGAAACGTCGGAGGTGAATCAGGGAAAGGGTCTTGATAGGGAGGGGAGGAAAGATGTGGGTGGGAGAGATGTCCAGAAGGCTGAGTTGACAGGCTGTATGTGTGGCTTACAGACTGCGGTGAGGGGCGGGAAAGTAGTATCTCCAGCATGTAGGACAAGTGGCTGCATATTTTAGATGCTTAATTAAATTTGGTTTTGAATAAATAGTCCTAGGAGGCCAGTACTGTTATGATCTCCCTTTTGCAAATGAGGATACTGAGGGCAGAGAAAGTTAAGTAATTTGTCCAAGGTCATGTAGCTGGGAATTAAAGGACTCAGGATTTGTGTGTATGTCAACCATTGACTTAACCAGGTGCAAGATGAGCTTCGAGTCATCAGCAGGAGCCAAATCATGGGTTCTGTAAGGAATATGGATGGATAAGCAGGGAAGCGTATATCTCAAATTTCTGTTTCCAGCCCAGAACCTCTCCCCTGACCTGCTGACTGCCTACATGATATGGCCTCTTGGATATCTAGAGATATTTTGAGAGTAATCTCAGCCAAATTGAACTCCTGTTTTCCCCCAAAAAAGTCTCTTCTTCCAAGGTTCCTCTCAGTAAATGCCACTTCCATCCTTGTAGTTGCTCAGACCAAAAGTTTTGAAGTTGTTCTTCAGTCCCTCTTTGTCTTATACCCATGCCCGGCCCATCAGCAAATTCTTTCAAAGTATATTCAGAACCTGACCATTTCTTTCCACCTCCATGCTGTCACCCTAATCCTGTCCACTCTCATCACCTGCCTGGATCATCACAGCAGTCTGCTGAGTGGTCTCCCTGCTCCAGAGGAATGCTGTGAACACCTGTGTCAGGTCACGTTTCTCCCCTGCTCAATACCCTCCCATGCTTCCATTTCACAGAGAGTAAATGCCAGAGTTTTCTTCATAACCTGCAAGGCCCTGCATGACCTGCCCATGTTACCACTCTGACATCTATTCATCTCTCCTTGCTCACTCTGCTCCAGCCACATGCCTCAGAGCTTTTATACTTGCTGTTCTCTTCACCTGGAACACTTCCCCAGATAGTCAAGGCTCACCTTCACCTTCTTTAGGTCTTTACTCAGATGTCACCTTCTTGAGATCTCCCCTGACCACCCTTCTAGAATCGTACTAACATTTGAATTTTTCCTTTGAATTTTTCCTTAACATTAATCATATCACTGTTTAACACACTATATACTTTATCTTATTGTCTGTCGCTGCCCTCACCCATACCCACCAGACCATACACTCTATGAAGGCAGGGGCTTTTGTCTACTTCATGCTTTATCTCCAACACTTAGAAGAGCTCTTGGCACATAGTAGGGATTCAAAAATTATTGAATGACTGGATGGATGGATGGTTTCAGAATTCAGATCCTGATCCCAGCGTCCTAGAGACTCTGTCAGTCCCCTTTCCACAGAGCTTTAAGGGGCTGCCTTAAAATTTTCTGAGGTCTCAGACATTTCCATTTTACCTCAGCTTTGTGCTCAGCATTGGGGACACAGCAGAGAACAAAAGAGTTTTCCTACCCCCAAAGAGCTCACAGTCTTGGGTGGGGGTTCAGCTCATCAACTAATCACATAATATGAAATTATAGAGAAACAGTAAAAAGGGCTGTAAGAGCACTTCACAGGAGCCCAGCCAGTGTGGCTAATTGGGGTTTGAGGTGATCTGAAGGAGTAGGCATTAACTCCATTAAGCGGGGGGTGATGCTTGGAACCTAGAGGCTGAGAGGGAGCAAGAGGTCAGACCATGTAGATCCTGTAAGGAGTGTGTGTCCTTACCCCATGTGTAGTGGGAAGCTGTAGAAGAATTTTATTTTTTAAAGATTTTTTATTGATTTTTAGAGAAGAAGGGAGAGGGAGAGAATGAAACTTCCATGTGAGCGTGAGACATCAATTGACTGCCTCTTGCACACCCCCTACTGGGGATCGAGCCCACAACTGGGGCATGTGCCCTGACTGGGAATTGAATGGGAATCGAACCGGCAGCCTTTCAGTGAATGGGACAATGCCCAACCAACTGAGCCGCCATCAGCCAAAGCAAGAATTTTAAACAGTGGAAGGAGTCATGGTCAGTTATGTCGGTTAACAGATTTCTTAGGCTGTTGTGTGGGGAATTCACTATAGGGGATTAAGGACTGAAGTAGAAATCAGTGATGAGGCTGTTACTATGAGATTAAAATAGCTGCTGCTAATGAAGACCACACATTCTTTGCTGTTTCTCCCATCAGGAGGTGAAGTCTCCTCCTCCTGTTTAATCTGGGCTAACCTGAGACTTGTTTTGACCAATAGAATGCAGTGGAAGTGACTCTATGCTGTTTGGGGGGACCTGGGTCTTTAAGAGGCCTGGTAGCTTCTGCTTTCACTCTCTTGAAACCCTGGGCTTCTGTTTAAAGAAATCCAGCTACCCTGCTGGAGAGAGATGCGGAAAGAGGCGCAGCCAGCCCCTAGTTGTTGCACTGTTTTAGCTGATGTGCCAGGCATGAGTGATGCCATCTAGTCCAGCTCCCAGCTACAACATGTAGAATAGAGATGAGCATTCCTAACTCTCCTCACCCTCTGAGTCTTGCTGAAATGACAGAATCATGAGCAAATAAATGGCTGTTATTTTAAGCCACTGTGTTTTGGGATGATATTTAGCCAGCAAGAGCTAGCTGAAACAAGCTAGTATCTTTTTTGAGATCGTACAATTTTTATGTATTAGCTCATTTAATCCTCACACTTACCAGTGTGGTAATATCACTCCCATTATACAGATGTGGAAACGGGCAGAGGAGTTAATGAAGTATTAGCAAGATAGGGGCACATAGTAAATGCTGAGTATGTGATAGCTGCTCTGATTAGCATCATGTTCATCAGCATGAAACTTGCATAGTTGTTTAAGAAGTGGTGTAAGGTGAATGAAAGCATTACTCACTTATTCATGGTATGATTTTTACATAAGTTACTTCACCTCCAGTTTCTTCACAGTAAAATGGAGGTTATAATAATGTCCATCTCACAGGGTTATTGTGAGGAGCACAGTGCCCATATTGTTGATCCTTGAACAGCACGGGTTTTAACTGTGCAATTGCACTTATACATAGATTTTTTTCTCCAATTGACCCGCACAGTTCAAACCAGAGTTGTTGAAGGGTCACCTCTGTGGTTGGGAATCTGCGTATACAGAGGGCCAACTGTAATTAAATGCAGATTTTTGACCGTGAGGGAGGTTGGCACCCCTACCCCCACATTGTTTAAGGGTGACTTGTACCTAATAATATGGCAGGGATGATAGTTACAATTACTCAGTCATGCAGGGCTTGATGGGCAGTGGTAAGGACTTGAATTTGATTCTCAATGAGATGGGAAGAAATCAGCGTTTTGAGCTGAAGAATGATGTGATCTGGCTGCCGTGTGGACACCAGGGTGGAAAGCAGGACTCCAGTGAGGAGGCTACTGCTCTAATCCAGCCAGACAGTGATGGCTTAGCCTGAGTCCAAGTAGCAGTAGTGGAGGTGGGGAGATGTGGCCAGATTTTGGATATAATTTGAAGGAAGAGTGGGCAGCATTTGGGGTGTAGGTGCGGGGTAAGAAAGAGTAGTCAACAGCTCTAAGGGTTTTAGCCTGAGAGAGGAAAGAGGGAGTGCCAGTCACTATATGGGGAAGACTAAGAGAGGCTGGGGATGTGGATACATTAAGCATCTCAGTGGACTTGCTGAGCAAGCAATGAAATCGAGGAGTCTGCATTCAGGAGTAAGATCTGGGCTGGAGATGTAAATTGGGGAGTCATTGGCATTTTCATGGTATGAAGGCCCAGGATGAGATCACTAAGGGAGTATAGATGGAAAAGAGATCTGGGAGTACGGACAGGGAGGTTCGTCAGGAGGTTGCTGCCATAATCTAGGTGAGAGATGATAGTGGCCTGGATGAGGGCAGGGGCCGTAGTGAGCAGTCATCTGGATACATTTTGAAGGCAGAAGCAACAGTGGATTGGTTGTGGGTGATAATGGAAAGAAACAGACAAGGGCCCCATGAGAACAGGATAGAGTCAGAACATGGGGCGGCGACTCTGCTACCCTCCTACCCCTGGGCCCTGTGGTCTCGCCTCTCTGCATCTGCTGCTTTCTCTGTGTGCAGCAGATGGGCTGGCCTTGGGTCATTCTTGCCCTGACTCTATGTGAGTGCCCTGCAGCTCCTCTGTCCCCACTCCAAATTCCCCAGTCAGGAATCAGATTGCTGGTGTCAAGCCCTGCTCAACCTGCTGTAGCTGGGGGTTGCGGGGTAGGAGTTCCTGCAGAGATGTCTGTCTGCTGGGAAGGGCTGTGGACTGGGTACCTCAAATAGTCACAAAGTGTTTCTGACGGTGTACTGGGGGCAAGAGTGCGTGCGTGGCTGTGGGGTGGGGAAGTGATTTCACCCTGTTTTGGTAGGTGGGTGGGTGGGACAGATTATTTATGTAACTTCAGATGTGTCCTAGATTGAGTGAATGAGATAGGAGAGACAAGGAAGTGGACTCTGGCAGGCTCTAGGCCCAGAAGGGTTGGGGTCAGGTTGGGAGAAGTGAGGGATCCAGCACAGCTTCTGCCTGCCATAGGTGTTCTCCAAGTAGTCAGGAAGACAGACGCTCTTTACTCCTCACTTGAGACACAGCAGTGACTGAGACAGCCTCTACCCTGCCCTCCCAGACAACACATCTAGTGGGAGACACCCCCCTCATCAAACGGGGATCAGGGCCGGGATAGCGGGGATTATATGGGGTTGTGGGAGCCCAGAGGAAGCACCCGACCTGGTCTAAGGTATCAGGAAGGACTTCCCGGAGTAGAGAACACATGAGGTGAGGTTTGAAGAGTCAGATGAAGGGAGTTAGGGACTCTACGGGTGACTACTTGTAGCCAAGTCAGTAGCTACTTAAATTTTTTTTTTTTTATATTTAATAATTTTAGATTTACAGAAAAGTTGCAAAGATAGTACAAAAGGCTTCCCAGAAACCCTACACCCAGCTTCCCCTAAAGTTAACATCTGACATATTTACAGTACATTTTTCAAAAGTAGGAAATTAATGTTGATTAGTATTCTAACTAAACTCCAGACTTCGTTCGTATCCTCCCCGTTTTCCACTAATGTTCTTTTTCTGTTCCAGGATCCAATCCAGGATGCCGTGTTGCACTTATTCATCATGTCTCCTTCTCCTTGGTCTCCTCCAGTCTGTGACAGTTTCTCGGTCTTTCCTTGTTTTTCATGACCTTGACAGTTTTGAGGCGTACTGGTCAGGTGTTATTAGAATGCCCCTTAGTCTGGGTTATCTAATATTTTTCTCATGGGTAGACTGGGATTACAGGTTTGGGGAAGAAAGCACTCAGGTAATATTAACCTGGATCACTACATTAAGGTGCTGTCTACCAGGTTTCTCAACTGCAATGTTACTGTTTTTCCCTTACCTTACTCTGATAGAAGCAAGTCACGAAATCCAGCCCATATTCAAAGGGAGGAGAATTTAGCTCCAGTTCATGTAGGGAAAATATCAAAGAATTTGTCTTCATATGTTACAGTCACCACAGTAATTAAATACGGGAAGATACTTTGAGGCTGTGCAAATGTCCTGTTTCTCTTCAGAGTTCCACCCACGAATTGTAGCATCCATTGCAGGTCTTGCCTGCGACAGTTATTACTATGGTACCCTAGTGTCCATTTTCTACTTTCCTCATTTCTTCTACATTTATTACTTGGAATTCTTCTGTAGGAAGGTTTGTCTCTTCTATCCCATTTATTTTATTTATATAATTATTAATTCTTTATCAGTATAGACTCATGGATATTTATTTTATTCTTTGTGTATAATCCAGTACTGTCATAATTTTTTCACTCCAGTTATTCCCGTTTTGGCCATAGGGGCTCTTTCAGGTGGGCTCCTGTGTTCTTTATTTTTTTCTTGAGCATCTCCTTACTCTCTGCCATTGTAAGATGATCCAGGCTTATCTTGCATTTTCCCTGCCCCTAGCCCTGGAATCGGCCATTTCTCCAGGGAGCCCAGGTTCCTTTTATTGGAGAAGGTATTAGGAACCAAGGTATGGGCACAGTGTGGTCATTGCTACTAGGGCATCACTGTTTCTAGTCCCTCTCAGCTGACAGAGCTAGGAAATATATGTATGTGTACAAACCCAGGTATGCACACATATCTGTGTGTGTGTGTATAGATAGATAGAGCTATCTGTGTATAAAAATAAACATGAGTCCATACTGATATTTCTGACTCTAACCCAGCCCCAGAAGGTTCATTCTCACCTTTCCTCCG